CACAGTTTTCCTGTGCTGAAGCTTCACAAGCTGGTGTCTGCTACAGTGCCATTAAAGGAAAAAATATGTGCAAAGCACAACAAGCTGATGGAGGTTTACTGTAAGACTGATCAAAGATGTATCTGCTATTTGTGCACCATGGACGATCACTGGCGCCACTCAACAGTGACAGCAGCAGCAGAAAGAGCTGCTGAGCAGGTAAAGATCAATAAAAAGATGAAATGAATCTGGAGTGTTTAAATTTTTCTCTGATCCTGCGGTTTCTTTTTGCAGGGACGGCTTTTTCTGAGTCACTGTGCCGTTAAGCGCAAATCCCAGGAGAGACAAAAAGAGCTGAATGAGCTGGTCCAAGCTGTGAAGGACTTCAAGGTGTGGAAATAAGACTAGAAACCAAATATCTCTACTGACCCACAGTGCTGTCTAGTACATGTTGTGCTTTGTGGTAGTGTAAACTAAAAAATTACTTGGTTAAATTCCAACTACTGCTTTCAGATTAATACAGCTTTCATAAGAATAACTGCCTCCTTAATGTGCTTTATACTGTAAGGTGAAGACCCTACAATCATACAGAGATGATTCATATGAGTTATACAGGGTTTTTTTTTTTTGGTTTTTTCTATTAAGAGCATTAACAGGCTTTAATCCTGTATTTTCAATGTACCTAATACAAGAGATTCAGTCAGCAAATGGAATTGGCTGACTGTGGCCCATTTCATCTGTGTGCAACAGGCACATAGTTGCTTGTACACTTTGAGATATTGTTTACATGGAAACTTTTCACAGTGAGTCAAGATGCAAAGTAAACTGCAGATGAACCACGACAAACACATTTTTTAACAACAAACCTAATTGGTCACTTAAAGGAGCTAATGAGGACAACATGAGTAAAAATAAAGCTCTCCAGAAAATACTTGGAGTAAAAATCAGAAATTAAAATCCATCAATGAGACACTAACTATTGCATATTTATAAATGCAGTGGCTACATTTTATTTTCTTTATATTGGTTTATGAATTTTGCCGCAGTTTTCTAAATTCGCCTCCAAAAAGTATTTTTTTTCCTAATTTAAACCTTCTTTGTATAAAACAGATTTGTTTTCAGACTGCAATGAAGTCCAAAGACAAGCTCTTTGATGAGCTGATCTCCTACATACAAAAGCAACGTACTTTAATAAAGCAGCTGATTGAGGCTCGAGAGAAACTTGCAGTTGTTCGGGCAGAAGCTCTGCAGCTGCAGCTGGAGGAGGAAATCGTCAGGCTGAAGAAAAGAGACGCTGACCTGGAACAGCTTTCTCATACAGAAGATCACATTCATTTCATTCAGGTAGGAAATGTGTGTATTTTGTGTTGTAGGCCAACCCATGTTTCTTTCTAAAATTCTGTCACCATTTAGACTCTATATTTAATTCAGTGTTTTATAACCAAAAAGTCACATCTGGAGCTGTAAAAGCTCAAATGGTTGTAGAGGAAAACCTGTTTAAACATTACCTCATGAAGACATAAACACTGCACTATCACTATTTTGTTAATTGCTATGTTTTGTAGCGCTCATTTCACGTAAGGCCAAAGCTTCCCACCCGAGCAAAGAAAAATCCAGGTGAAAGAGAAACCTAAAGTGAAACATGCAGTTTGAGCCAACATTGTAACTTCTTGCTGGGGAGTTTATGAGGATGCATAAATTTGATTTAAAATGTGTTGCTGTGCAGCAAATGTTCATCAATGAATATGAGCATTTCAAAAATTTAAATTGGGGGGGGGGG